CATATAAATACATTTTGAATTTCTGTTTAAGAAATAGTTCATTTTCAAGGTGGTACAAACTAGTGTCTTTCAAGTATAGGTCTACACACTGGCTGTATCAGGACCACCACTCGTGTAGCTTTCAAAGTGTGCAGATTTTTCAAACCCCATTCACAGATACTTAGAATTCATTAGGCCAGAAATAGATTGTCTTAATTGGTGTGTTTACAAAACTCCCAACCATAGTCATCTTTGGGAATTACAGTTTTAAGCATTTCCTAGGTTATGTTGTTTATATTATTGTATTCATTTACTTAGCCATATTTTTAAAAATATCTGTTAGGATGTTTTTTATTGCAGATAATAGAAAACTACATTCTGCGTTTATTTATGGCTTAAATAATAAAGGGGATTTATTGGCTCAGGTACCTGAAAAGTCCAGAAATAGGATATATTTCAGGAAAAGTTTGATTTGGGTTCCAACTTGTTGCATTAGACATGAGTCTGAAGGTTCTGCTCTGCTTGTCATTTTTAAAAAAGATTTATTCATTTTTTTAAAAAAGTCAAAAATCTAAAATAAATAAAAATCTATTCATTTTAGAGAATGATCGCATGTGAGTGGTAGGGGAAGGGGCAGAGTGGGGGGAGAGAAAATCCTCAGGCAGGCTCCTCGCTGACCACAAACCTGGATGAGATCCTGAGATCATGACCTGAGTCAAAAATCAAGAGTCAGCCACTCAACTGACTGAGCTACCCCAGGCACCCTTCTGCTTCTCATTTTTATCCTTAGGAGGTTTTTCTCATTGTGTTAAAATGGCTAACAAATGAGCCTTGTACCTACTTATAATATCCAGAATAAGAAGCTATAACCCATAATTTCCAGTAAAAGTTTTGAGAGTCACACTATTTGAGCAAAACCTGAACCAGCCACCACAGCGCAAACGTGTGATTGTCCTGTTTGGCTTAAACCCTACCAATCAGGGCCTTACCTGTGGGGTTAAGGATGGGGATAATTCCTATTGTATGACCACTATGTAATGAAGGAGAGAAAATAGATCTCAATGTAACAACCATAAAATCTACTCTAAAGTATTAGAGAGATGAACTGTAACTCAGCCTGGTCTAAAATTATATTGTTTTAATGAAGTACTAATTTATGATTTAATATTTTTCAGTTTCTTACATTTCTAGTAAAATATGAAGAAAGTACTAATCTTAGAGCAAAAGGTAGATATTTAGACGACAAATCAGTAAATAACCTGTGGGAGATAAATACCTCTCACATATGTAAATGAACTATGGTATGGACTAAATGCTTGCTTTCTAGTGGTGGGAGGGTCAGGCATGTATTGTTTTCTTATTGATGACCTCTTCCAATATTTTACTATAAAAGTCTTCAAGCATACAAAAGTTGAGTTGTACAGTGAACATCCACCACCTCCATTCTGGAATTAATATTTTTATATATTTCTTTTATTGTAGCTTTATTAAATACTTACCCATCTACCACTGAAGGTGTCTTATTTTTTTGGTGCATTTTAGAGTAAGTTAAAGTAACGGAGTTATACTCTGTCCCTAATCACTTAAACATGCACATCTTTAGGTTTTTGATGACCTTTTGACTAAGAGAACGCATACATGGAACTCTATAGCATAAGGCTTTAATATGAATTAGATTATTATAAACATCAGTAATTGCTAAAATAATTACTGAAAGATCCAAGAGTGAAAGTGAATTTAGGCCTTTTATAAGTATTACTTTATGTTCTCTTAATACAGAGTTTTCTTTTATCGCAAGACAAAAAGTTTTATATTTAAGGTCTGTTCACTGAAATTACAGAATTACCAAACTTTGTTGATGTGTTGGAGCTCTTTAAGTTTGTCACTTACCTAATTAGTTTTGCTTAGGAAACCACTTAACTGGCAATCTGTTATTGTTATCAGCTAGACCAAAAGAAAACATCCAAGAAAATCCAGGTTACTGGTAAATTTATTAGGATAGCTGACATTTTCCCACCTGCTTATCAGAAAGAACCATGTGGACTTGCTTGAAAATCGAAAACTATAAAAATGTTTGCAAAAAAGAATCTTAAACATTAGGTAATTAAATAAGCTGTCTCAAAAGTGAAATTCAGTTGCCCACTTTTTAGAATATAATAGTTAACTGGGTATTTTTTTGGCATTGTAAATGTGTTTAGTTACCTTTATCAAGGACCCTAAAGAGCTTCGAATCAATATATTTAAATGAGAGCCCATTTGCAGAACATAAAAACCATGGACTTTTAGATAAAATGTTATTTATATATTTTAATTTATTAAATAGCATTTAGGACATCTCTCAGATTACTTTAGTTTTTGAAATACCAGCTATATTCCTTTAAAGTAGACGTAAATCAGAATACCTTATGCAGAGCTTTCCAACTGGTGTGTCTGTCACACTGGTATGCTTGCTACTAATGTGTGACAACTGTACAGGGATGGGGTCACTGCTAGAGCCCAGAGCTGCTTAATTATCCTTCCTTTGCCTTCAGTTAGTCCTTACAAATTGTTACTTGGGTATGTGTGTGTTTCTGTGTGTCTACAGAAATAATGGTTTAATGGGCATCAGAGATTTTTTTTTTTTTGTAAACTTTTGACTTTCTGTATGTAAAAGCTTTCCAGAAGAACCCTTTTATTAACATTATATACGGTTATATTTAAATTTAAAGGAACAATTATATGCAGTCATGTTAGTCAAATATATAAAGTTTTTCTCTTTGAAATTCTGCCTTTTTTCCTACAATGAATAGAAATTCAAGGAACACCTGGGTTTTTTAGTCATAAATTCTTTTTTTTTTTTTTTTATTTATTTGACAGACAGAGATCGCAAGTAGGCAAAGAGGCAGGCAGAGAGGGAGGAAGGAAAGCAGGCTCCCCGCTGAGCAGAGAGCCCAACTCTGGGCCCGATCCCAGGACACTGGGATCATGACCCAAGCCAAAGGCGGAGGCTTTAACCCACTGAGCCACCCAGGTGCCCCTTTAGTCATAAATTCTTAAAGAGGGCTTCTTTGATTTTCACAAATACCTTTCAGGAATCTTTTTGTTCCCCCTAAGTTAAAACATTCCTTTTCTTTATTGTAAAAATTCTCAGTTGCTCTGTTTTTTGTTAAATACTGTCTTTCCTCTAAAGGAATCAAGGTGTAAAATTTTTGGCTAAACCTTACTATGATCCACCTTTGGAGAAAACAGATCTTTGGAGTCACTTAGTCACTTTTTGTAAAACAGGTTTAGTGATTCCTATCATGCCAAATTTTTATTTCATACACGTTTCCTTAAAGGAAAGAATTGGTATTAATTCTGGTTATGGTCAGTTGACAGCCTTTCAAACCTAAAGTATTTTGCATTCTTGAATGACTGCCTCACCACATTAGAACTTACCTTAGACTTTATAATTTTATTCACCCTGAGAATTTTATTTTGTCCTGCATGATATTCATGCTATGGGATATCCAAAATCCTTCAGAACTTCACCTTCACTGGGAACCAGATTTAAAGGCAACTTTTGTAAATCTGATTTCAGCCCACAAATATCTGGCCTTTCCATCTCATCCACAAGGATTTCTTCCTAGTAGTTGATTGCACTTTCCATTTAATTAACAATTTCAAGGCAATTAATATGGCATGATGCTAAAATTAGACTCAAAGACCATCAAAGAAGACAGCTGAACACATACTCGAAGGAGTGATTCTCATCAAATTAGTCCCCTTTGGAAATATATCTACCTACTCAGTTGTGGCTGTTCTTCCTCACGTCACATATGGGATTTGGAAAATACATTCTTTAAAAATAATGGCTTCCTTTGGAGTGCCTGGATGGCTCAGTGGGTTGATCCTCTGCCTTTGGCTCAGGTCATGACTCAGGTTCCTGGAATCAAGCCCCGCAAAGGGCTCTCTGCTCAGCAGGGAGCCTGCTTCCCCCTCTCTCTCTGCCTGCCTCTCTGCCTACTTGTGATCTCTGTCTGTCAAATAAATAAATAACAAATCTTTAAATAAAAATAAATTTGTTTTAATAAAAAACAAATCTTAAAAAAAAGAATCTGGAGATGTCAAAAACAATTCAATTTCATCCTCTAATAAGCCCTATGTCTTTGTTTTTTGGTTTTTGGTTTTTGATTTTTTTTTTTTTTTTTTTTTTTTGAGAATGAGAGAGGGAAGGAGAGAGAGAGCACAGGTAGGGGGAGCAGCAGATGGAGAGAGAGAAGTAGACTGCTGGGTGAGCAGGGAGTCCTGGGCAGACTCAATCCCAGGACCCTGAGATCATGACCTGGGCGGAAGACAGATGCTTAACCAACTGAGCCACCTGGGCGCCCAGCCCTATGTCTTAAAATTCACATTTGTTTTCAAATGGTAAAGGAAAAGGCAGCTTCTTCCCTCCCAATCTGTATGCCTGGAAAATGATCACATTATGGTTCTGGATCTAGCTGTTAGTATTGGAGTATCTTTTAATTAGCTATATCTAGGACTTCCAATATACATTCCTAAGTTAATTAAATAGGAGAGATTCAGAGCTCTCCTTCCCCTTTTAAGAGTGGTTTGCAGAACCTTTCTTTTTTCTCTTCTGTGTTCACCAAGCAAAAGCTGATTCCCAGTGTAGCTGTGGGAAGCTTACTACCTTCTCAACTAAACGTTGAATACCTTATGGTATGGATAGAAATCATTTGTGCTCAAGGTAACTAGAATGCCTTTGAAATTCTAGGGTAGTTTTTTCACTCTAGACTCATTCAATGTCGGTTTCTAGAAGTGTCTCCAAAAGTACATTTTATAAGTTGTATGTGTTGTAAATAGCTTCCACTAAGCATTATTTAGAAGTACTTGGTATAGTTTACTATAAATTACTTTTCAGAGATAGTTTGAGAACAGATTAGTTCAGAATTTAGCCATTTAAAGGATATGCCCTTATCCTGTCCTATATCTTCAAATATTTGAGTACATGCTGTGAAATTTGTCTTTTGTTTTTGGTTTGTTTTATTGTCACAAAACAGAAAGAAGAAGGAAAGCTTCAAGGACAGCTTAACAAGTCTGATTCTAACCAGTATATTAGGGAACTGAAAGATCAGATAGCAGAGCTGAATCATGAGGTAAGTGATAAATTTTGATCTTCACATATTTCTTTCTTCCTTCCTCTGTATTGTAACAACACTGTATTACTGGTTTATTACTGGTTATGACTGACTCTTTTATGATAAATATTATCTGTGGATCACTGATTATAATTAAATAATAATATTTTAGAAATTTGTCTTTTTAGTAAGAATTGTTTTGTTCCAATATTGAGAATTAATTTTTCTCAAACCTTTTCATGATCTAAAAGTGCTCAATTATTATTTGGACAGCAAATATTTTTTTTAATTGTGATCTAAAAATCTTTAATAGTTTGTCCAGGTGTCATTAAGTTACTTCAATTAAACTTAAGTTTTCTTTATACTTTTAAAATAGATTTGTGTTATTCACCGTTGTGGATAGAGGGAAGTCTTTTTATTCTTGTCTTCTTATTCCCTTATGGTGGTATTACTGAGATTGCAAAAAAGGATACTTGCCTAATATCAGTTAACAGATTTCTTAGTATCTAAACACTTTTTAAACTGGCACTACCTTGAATCTGTGAGATTCAACTCATGAAATTGTCAAATACTATTATTAAGTACTCCAAGTAATTCAAATTAATGTGTTTGATTAGAGAGATACTTTTTGTTAATGTGGTTCTAGGTCAGTTTCCTTGTCCTTTATTATTTTCTAACGATAAGGACTTATCCAAACATTAATATAAAAGCATGTTTCTTATCTTGAATTATTTGTACAATAAGGTTTATTCACAATGATAAGATTTGAGTGGGCAATACAACCTCATTTGTTAATAAAGAAACTCATTTTGACCCCTAAATTAGTTTAAACCTCAAAGGAAAAAGTTTGGACATTACTCTTTCCTGGTATTACACCCTTCAGTTAAAGCTGGGTGTTTTGGGTAATACCTCCCGGAGGTAGTCAATCTAAGTTAAGTTCTGAATGGAGAAACAAAATATTAACAAAAATGATAAATGCTAAATGTAGTTTAATGTGACTTATCCTGACATTTTGGGGGTCATTCCTGTGATTTTTCAACCATGATAGCATTTAAGGGATTCAGGATTATGTATAATCTTTACTTATTTGTGTGCAGTTTTTATAATCTGTTCTGATCTAATAACCATGTGTAAAAGAACAAATTATAAATAAGATGTTCTAGAAATTCTTATTGTTTTGAGAACCCTAGGAATTATTCCTTGTGTTCAAAAGCTTTTCTCAAAGGAATTTTTGACTATAATAAAGCCATCTTCCCTTTATGATTTTGACTTAGAGTGATTAGGAAGCTTTAATGTTGCTGAATTAAGAAAATTGTATGGGGATTGACCTTATTTCCAAGACTCGTCTAAAAATCAGCCAACATTAATTTTGCCTGTCATGTACCCTAACTAAAAATAAGGATAATCTCCTCATCAGGACTGGCAGAAAACAGTTTATGAGAGGTCTCACTCTAATGTCACTTCTGTATGTGTGGGCTGTGAAAGTAATCTTTTGTGTTGCATGAACATGGAAAGAAAATTAACTGAGTAGAATTTTCTACTGTTAAAGTAAAGAGCTAGATTGTGTAAAGTAAAAACTAGAACAGTTTGTGATGAGATGCTAATTGTGTTATTCAAAGTACGCAGGTCCTGGGCTTAAGTAAGCCCCGGTGAGAAAATGTGTAGAGAAAAGGCTAAGTACAGTGCAGCTGGGGACCACACAAGAGTGCAGAGGTGAGGGTAAGCCAGCATGGGTATGGGATTTAGAGGCCAGACTCGATTAAAAATTAATGTGATTAGGTGGTGGGAAGTGAGGGCAGAGTGAATAGAACCAGCTTATGGTGAATCTTCAAAGCTAGACAAAATTAATTTTACTAGATAAAATGAAATCATTATAGGTCTTCAATTAGGGTTTCCTTTTCATTATGTTTTCAGAGCAGGTTTTAGTATATTGACCTGTTTCAAAGTTTTACAACTAAAGAAAGGTTAAGTGAAAACAAATGAAATTTTAAACCAAGGTAATGGTTGTAAGTGCACTAACTATACATATACTGTTGGTTAGACCAGCTTCTTAAGAGGGTTACATAAGGTATCACTTTTTCATTCTAGTGATTTTCATTCTTGTGCTATAGCACTTCACACTGGAGAAAAAAGCCCATAACCAAAGACAGTCTAATCTCTCCAACTTAACTTTTGCCTTCTGTGTTAGAATTTGCCAGAATCTTTAGCTTTCAACAAAAAATTAACTTTCAGATATTAAGGTTATATGTGAACATGTGACTGTTTAGTAGTCACTCTATTATACTTCTTAAACTGTTGAAGGAAATGTTGAGAGAAACTTTGCAGGTCTATAATATAACAATAGTTACTGTTTATTGAATACCCTCTATTGGTCAGGCATTATGTTAGATACTTCACATATATTATTACTAACCCTCATCATATTCCCACATGATGGTAGTATTCTCAGTTGAATAAATAGGAAAACAGAGTCACAATAATTAAGTAACTTGCCCCGGTTATACAAGTAGTAAATGGTTGAGCCAGGATTGAATCGAGTTTGGCCTATCCTTTTCTGTGCTGTTTACAGACATTAGATTAGAAAACATGTCATCAATATTTAAAAATCTAAAGAATGGCACTTAATGACAATATTTTAACTGTGTTGTTCCTCCCTGAAACACTAGAAGTGAATTCTGCAGTTGACCTAGTGCCCAGAGCTCCCTCTCCCTCCCTGTCAGCGTTGCAAATGGAGGTTTATCTTCACTTACTGCAGTGTACTGTGATCCGTCCAAGTGCCTGCTCTGACTTCCGACCCCAGCAGTTCCTACTGTCACCACCTAGCTAATAATGCTCTTAATTTTACCTGCTCCACTTAAGGATGTTTTTTAACTTGGAGCCTCTTACACCCTGCGAAGACCCTCCTAGAAGCCACTGTAGAAATGCTTGCTGTCCCAGATCTGGCAAGAGCCTTGGTTAAATCTTCCCCTATCTGTACATCCTGTCCTCATGGCGTACATAGACAAGAACCTGGATCCCAGTTCAAGTCTTTCCTTATTCCATCTTCCCCACCTCCTGCCCTCCCAACCATCTATCATTATAGCACCTACTAGGCCCTATGTTTAGAACTAAAGATACAGATTGAAACACAACTCCTATCCCCCAAGGGGCTCACAGCCTAACAACAGAGATCAGTATTCAAATAAATTATAATATGTAATGAAAAATACTGAATTATAGTAGTTACCATTCATTTAATAGTCACTCTGTACCAGACACTGTCCTAAATTAACATTTATATCGTTTCTTCACGACATTCCTATGAAATAGGAAGCATCATCATTTTTTGTGTTTTGCATGTAATAAAACTAAGGTTCTAGGGTATTAAATAACTCCCCATGGTCATACAGTAGTTAGTGATAGAAGTAGGAGGTTAGTTCAGACTATAGGACTCCAAGCCCGTTCATGCACTTAACTACCATATGCTATGCCTCCTTTGAAACATATAGGAATAAAATGGTAACAGCAACTGGGTTGGGTTTTGAAAAATGAGAAGAAATTTGTCACACAGATTGAGCATCAGGAACATGTAAGTCAGATACATAAACCAAAATTGTAGGTTCCAGGAATGAATAAGCCATGTACTTTTCCAACATAGGTCTGTCTTCTTATGGCTACTGACCACTGAAGACAAAGAATATTTTCTAAATGCCAGGAAAGGGAGATAGAAGAAGGTAGAAAGTTATTCTCATTTAGAAGCTAAAAGAAATACACTCAGGACTCATGTAGGTATAGACATACTGAGAAGTATAATCTTATTGTTCACCCAACTATTACCAGTTGACTGAGGTTCTGTGGGGCCTTTGGAGCCTTGCTGCCTTTTACAGTACAATTTTATAGGAAAATGCATACTAAACAGCTGATTTGAATACGTTTTTGGATATAAATTATGTTTTTACTTGTTCTTGATGTGATATATTCTGGTAGATGTTGTAGGAATAGGTAAATTTATTCCAGTCTAAAGATAATTCACTTATGCTAAAAATTAAATCTTTTTTTTATTAAACAAAAAGATTTTTGTTTAATAAAAATTTGCTGAATTTTTTAAAAAAGATTTTATATATTTATTTGACACAGAGAGAGAGAGACAGTGACAGCAGGAACAAAAGCAGGGGAAGTGGGAGAGGGAAAGCAGGCCTCCCGCTGAGCTGGGAGCCTGATGCAGGCTCAATCCCAGGAACCTGGGATGAGCTGAAGGCAGTCGCTTAATAATGACTGAGGCACCCAGGTGCCCCTGCTTTGCTGAATTTTTGTGTCATAATAGTTTTAATGTGCTTTTTGTCCTTAAAATCTCAAAAAATTAATTCTAGTCATATTTGCTTCGTAAGTTTTATACATAGAGCAAGTTTTCCCTTTTTTCATTAAGCTTGCTAGTGGTAGTTGCTAGACTGGGTGTAAATACTTTGGCTGATTATTTTAATCTTCACAATTATCTTGTGAAAATTATTATTCCCATTTTATATATAGTCTCAGAGAGGCCAAATAACATGTCCACAGCCACCTATCAGTTAGTAGCAGAAGCTTGAAGCAGGACTTTCATTTGACTGCAATGTACTAAACTTAGAATATGAAGGCAAACAAAACAAGCCATATCTTTTTAAAAAGAAAGAAAAAATCTTTAGAGCATTTTTGTTCATTAATAAATACCCTGCCTTGTTTGAGACATAATGAAGCAAGTTTGTAAATGATGCAAAATAGCAGACTACAATTTTGTGAGACAGAGTAAAGAAAACTATAGGAATATAATGTGGGAGGCATGAATAAGACCCATACAAAAACGCATACCACAGGAGTGTCTATTTATTTCTTATAAATGGACCTTAAACATGGCTCTAAAGTTTTCAGGAGGCTACACAAAAAAATGGGAGACCTGGTCACTTTAAACATGTCAGAGTGAATGTATAATGAAAACAGACCAATCGTTAGGACAGACACAACTATTTCTGATGGCAAGATCAAACCAGTTTCTTCATTGCTTA